TCATATTGAAAATCTGAAGTCACCATAATGTTTATTGCGTACCTATACTTTAACTAGCCCCAGTTTTTTCCATTTTATCATAGACAACTTACAGCAATTAGCCATGGTTCTATCTCTGCTGCATTTTTTTCTCCTCTTTAGCCTAAGACAACTTTTCTCAAATTAATTCCCCTTCCAGATGTGTTTGGCTATAACACAATCCCTCTCCAGCCAACTTAGATGTAAGGAACTGCTGACTGGGGAAGTTTAGCCACGGGATATTTGTGATATTTATGCTGCTGATTTTCATATTTTTCTATTCATCCTTTCTTCATACCTTGGCTAAATTTGGCTGTTCTCAAGGAAGTTTCTATTTATTTTATCTATCTATGATCTTCTTTTACCTGCACCTCGGTTATTTCCAACTTAAGCTATTTTTTTGTTTTTACTTTCAAAGCTGCCAAAAGAAGCCACTAATCCTATCACTGTGGAGATCTGCATTGTGAAGAAGTTTGATCCGTTCTTCCTCCTTTTTTCCCCCGTTGCTTTCAACTATTATTTGCTTCTTTGGCTAATGGTCCTGGGTTTTCCACTTGTTGAATGCCTTTATTCTCTGCTTTGGCCATTTACTTTTGAAGCAAAACAGAAATGTAACAGAAATTGTTTCTTGCTCTTTTTCTTGGAAATATTATTTATTTTTAAAAAAAAACAGTTTTTGCCAAATTTGCACATCTCCGTGATTTTTATATAGACAGTCCTCAACTTACGATCACAATTGAGCCCCAGAATTTATGTTTGTAAGTGAGAAATGTGTTAAATACAAGTTTTGCCCCATTTTACTACTATTCTTGCCTCATAAGTGAATCACTGCAGTTGTTAAATTAGTAACACAGTTGTTAAGTGACTCCGGCTTCTCCATTGATTTTGCTTGTCAGAATGTCACGAAAGATAATCACGTGACCCCGGGACAATGCAACCATCATAAATATGAACCAGTTGCCAAGCATCCAAACATAAATGGGGATGCTGCCATGGTCGTAAGTAGGACAAATGGTCATAGGTCACGTTTTTCAGTGCTGTTGTAACTTCAAACAGACACTGAACAAACTGTTGCAAGTCAACGACTACCTGTATTATCCTCATGTTTTTTTCAATCCCAGTTTTCGTGATTTTTTTTTTCTTGCTGCTATATCAGAAATGTTTCTTTTGATTAATTCTTCTCAATTTTTCTTAACACTTTTAGGTGAGCTAAAACCCTAAACTTTGATTCCTTCACTTAATGTAATAATTCCACCTATCCAGTCTGGCTCAATAGCATATTGGTTGCAGACCTGTTGCAGTCATCTTTTTGCCTCATGTCCCGTTCTCTGTATGCGTTGTCTTAGTTGTCTTTCATCTTCGACGCCTATCAGTCTAGCTTTAAAGCTTCTTACTCTGGAGAACCACTCAGTCCTATCTTAATAGTCTTTTCTTTGTTAATGTGTGAGCTTTTATTGCATTCTTGTTTAGTTATAGTACTATCAGATTTTTTTCCCCTGTAGTAAATCTGTTGATTAGAAGTAGAATTTGTTCTTAATAGTTTTCATTCCTATTTCTTTATTTGTTCCTTTTGTACTCAGATTTCTCATTCTTTATCCTTTCTGTTTTCTGCTGATATCCCTCATATTTCTAGCCTTAATCCCTCTTTATATTTTTATAATTCCTTCTCAGGTAGTTTTTTTTTCCTATATCTGGAAGTTAAGTATTATTATTATTATGTTGATGATATGTATCTATGTTTGATATTTCTACATATTTCTGTTATTTTCTGCCTAATCATCACCATCTGAAACTTAATATTCTAATGTGGAATTTCTAGTTATTCCAGCTTAATCTAACCTTTTCTCCTTTACTTCTTTTTGCATTAGCAATATTTATGTCTCTTACTTTTCTCCTGCATGTTACCATGATATCGTTTGATTTCCTGCTCAAACAAATTATATCGTTTAATCAAATTATTGACTAAATTATAGAATAATGTAATACAGTATAAACCAGTGAATGACAAGGGTGTATAGAGATTTGAATCGACGCTTAATCACCACACTATTCTGATTTGTTTTGGCATATCATGTGAGGTTGCCTATTGGAATGAATGGCAGAGCTCTAATCTCTCGGGTCTTCCCAACAGCCAGAATATGATGTTTGGATACTCCTCACTGTTGTGGGTACCGTACTGGTCATTGTTGTAGTCTTCTTCGTTCGCACTCGTTGTCAGCCAAGCAGAAATCAGGTAAGAATTGTGTAGTAGTACTCCATCTGATATCGAGTGTTCTCAATCCTTCCAGAAAACGTTCCTCTCTCTGATAACATGATTAAGATTTTAATTAGTATTTCCTGGTCTTTGTATCCAACCTAAGTCCCCACAGAATTTGAACTATAGGTTTTAGATGTCAGACACATGTTTTACAGTGGCACCAAAAACTCACAAAGCACAAGAACTGGGTATTGTATCATTCCAAACCTGTAATAGTACAGGTAGTCCTCAACTTACTATCACAATTGAGTCCCAAAGTTATGGTGCTAAGTGAGAAATTTGTTAAGTGAGTTTTGCCCCATGTTACACGTTTTCTTGCCACATTAGTTAAGTGAACTGCTGCAGTTGTTAAATTAGTATCACGGTTGTTAAGTGAATCTGCTTTGCCCATTGACTTTGCTTGTCAGAAGGTCACAAAAGAGGATCCCGTAACTCCAGGTCACTGCAACCGTCACAAATGTGAGTCAGTTGTCAAGCGTCCAAATGTAAATCACGTGGGGATGCTGAAACCGCCGTAAGTGTGAAAAATAGTCACAAATCGCTTTTTTCAGTAGTGTTGTAACTTTAAACAGTCACTAAGTGAACCACTGTAAGTCGAGGACTACCTGTACTTTATTTAATATTGTACTTCAACTTGTATCATTCCATTTTTGGAAACTCTGAGCAGCAAGTTGTTTTATATCAGGCTTTTGGTACAGATGGACACAATTAAATTTTGATCTGATATAATCAAGATATACTAAAGAAGGATTTTATGGGAATTTTGAAGAAGTAGTTGCCTAGTGAGTTTAGCTATTCATGTATGCATGTATATACCATCCAACTCCCAACAACTCTGTAATATTTACTGTACAAGGAAAGCAAGATACGCTTCCTAATCTGGCTCAGCCTAGCTTCCCAGTAGCAGATTAAAGAATCGGGTTTTTTTTGTCTGCAACCTCCCAACCATATCTGCCGTACATTGTGCTGCTACAAGAGGATTCTCCTGAAATTCTCATGACTTTGTATGGGTGAGTCTCCATTGCCATTGCCCTAGCAATGGTTTAGCAGCACACTGTAAGAAGATACGGCTTCCTAAAAAAATCCCTGTATTAAGCAAGAGCGGTTTGATTGAACTAGGTTGACCCAAACCCCTTTAACTTGGTCGTCTATTTAAACTGCAAGGAAATGCTGACTGTTGTGACCCATGTCAGCTGTACAGGAAGTGAGGCCTTTGAAGTTTTTCTCCTTCTATATTCTCATCCTTCCTCAGACCAATGTGCAGGAAGCAACCATACAAGCAATCAACCGGATGGCCATACGGAGGTATCAAAACCCCCATCGGCATGCCCCAACGGGGGACTCCGTTAGCACCTGCAGTTCTCCTCCCATATGTGCAATCTGTTTGGAAGAATTTTGTGAGGGGCAGGTAAGCCTCCGTTTCTGGTTTGGGAGCTCTCACATAGATTCTCAGGTCAAATAAGCAGGCCCTTCAGAGACTGGTGAGTGAGAAGAATGCCAAAGCCTCCTGTTTTTAGAGCAAGGGGAAAACCAAGTCTAGCCAATCTGTGGATGAAGTGATTAAAACATGGCTCTTTACTTGTGCATTCAATATTCTAGAGTGCCTCAGTGTGCACTGTGGAATGTCTTGGATTATTTTGTGGGATCTAATTATTATTTTGAACTTCGTTGTACTCCATTCAGAGTCATGTTTTATAATATTGATGGCTATATAAACTTGAAAAATAAATCTAAAATGCATTTTAGTGCATTTTTCACATGGTGAAAACAACATCGCACTGCAAGTTCTGTCCCCTTTGGGTAGTATGATGATATAATGCATGTAGAAAACAGGCATATGTGTGCTATAAGGCTGGTTGGATCACCCTGGCCCCATCTGTGAACAGGAGAAGGAGCAATGTCAAAAAAAAACCCCTTTTAACTGTGAATTAATGCCTATTTTAATTCTTCCCAATCATTCAACTATCTTATTTTAATCTTTATAAATCATCATTTTGTAAAAAAAAAATTACCTATAGACTAGATTAAAAACACATGAAGCCTCAAATGAGTAGTGAGGTTTGAGAGACAGAGACATGTTTTTGCAAGACTTTGATTCTTAAACCTTATTACTTGTTTGAAGCTCAGGGATTTAACCACATTCCCATCAGACCTTTCCAGTGAGATAAGCCACAAGGTAACAGGAGACTGACCCACCCATATCAAGACTCTTCCTTCCTTTGAATCTAGAACACTGCCTTCTCATCCCATTGCCTTTTCCTATTTTGCAGGAACTACGGATCATCACCTGTTCCCATGAGTTCCATCGGCAGTGTGTGGACCCTTGGCTCCAGCAGCACCAAACATGTCCATTATGCATGTTCAACATTGTTGGTAAGATTGAGCAGAAACATCTCTGAGAGTAGTAGTTAAAAATCAGGCATGCTGGATCAGTCAGAAGACTACACAGTGTATGCCACTGGCAATCAAAGGCCTCTGGGAATTCCACAAACAGATGAAGGGCACAATACTCTTCTTCCACAGTTGTTCTCAAGACTCAGACTTCAGAATTCAGAGGTACTCTACCTAAGAGCATAAAGATTCTGAATTTTTTAACAAGAGATCTGTAGCCATTAACTCGGCTGTATTTGGTTGAATGAATCTCTAATTTCTTGGACTAGAAAGTGTAAGAGTAACTAAATGGGGCTGCCGTTGCAGATAATTTGGAGGCAACAGTTGGCGCAGAATACAGTAGTCAGGCTGCTATTGAGAGAAATACCAAATGTGATTTCTGTATTGATAGCCACTCAGGTTTGGATCCAATTCAAAGTGTCGGACATGACTTAGAAACCTTGCGTGGCTTGGCAGGGGGTTATCTTAGAGACTATATTATGCAATATGTGTTTACTGTTAGGACTTCTGAAGAAAATTCTGTTTAAGATGCAGTCTCTGCAAGATCAGAGAAAACCGTATACAAGAAAGCAGGTTTTTTTTTTTAGTTTTATTAGAATTTTTGAATAGAATGAAAGTATACACATTTGAAAGAAAAATAAGTGGGGGGGGGGAATAAAATATGAAAAAGAGAAAATCAAGGCAGGTCTTCTGTATGGCTGCCCTCGAATCGTAGAATGTATTGTCCCCCAGAATGACTCTGCTTGGCATTCCTGCTTGGCATTCCGGAAAGCAAGAAAACTTCTTTTTTTTTTAAAAAAAGATGGGCGTTCTATACTTAGTTAATGTCTTAACTAAAAGACTGAAAAGGCATCCTTAGTAAATCCCACAAGACACTTTTTTTTCTGCTGCCAAACAAGCTATATTAAATGGTCTATGTTCCTGAAGAGTTTGTGGAGGCAACTTCAAAAATATTAGTACCTTTGTATACCATTCCAAAAATCCTGTTTGCCAAGGTAAAGACAGGATATGACCTCATATCATAGACTATAAGCTGCCCCCCACCCCCCCACCCCGAAGTTGCCCTGGATTCTGGACTAACAAAATACTGAATAGGTGAATTACTTTAAATTCCTGAGCTTTGTAATCCAGTCATCAGGAAAATGAAACACCCACATTTTGCAATACCCACATTGTTCTGTCCATTTTGACAGTCTTCTTGTATGGCAGAGGAAGATGGTATTTCCCAGCAGCATTCAGATTATTTGAAGCCAAAGTATTTTCACTTAGCTTCTGTGTGAACTATGGTGTAAACTCTGCTAAATTATAGAAATTTTAATCTCTATATCTAAACTTCTCTATAAAACTACTATAGACTGATCTTCCTGAGTATTATATTTAAAAACTAAATTATTTCTATGAAGCAGATCCTGTAAATGGGTTATGTTATCTAGAATATTTATTTCAATGCTGTTTCAATGGTCATGGTGTTTATCATATTTCCCAAACAGCCTACTTCTTTTTTTACATATTAATCAACATGTAGGATTTTCATTTTCTGATATAAAGAATTCTCTGCTTTATCCTCAAAACCTTGCTTCACCTCACCCTCTGCAATTTTTACCTGTATAAACTCAGTCTTTCTGAAAGTGGTGAATCCTGAGAAAAGGCTTTTAAATAGATAAGCAACTTCATGTAACTTCCTATTACTTTCTTACGAGCTCTCTCTTGTGGGTCAGAAATAATTCTGGCTTTTAGCTGTACTTGGGCCTTAGACCTTTCACCATTTAGATGAGGGGATAATTCTTGCTTTCCTTGCCAGTTTCCATTTTCCAGTTAAGCAGTCAAAAGATAGTGGAAGATTGAGACTGCAAATTTAGCATCTCTCCATACCAAATGGGAAGTCAGTTTAACATAAGATTCCAATCACTAGATACAAGATCAGCATAGTAGTAGCATGATTCTGCAAAAACCTTTCTCTTGTTACACCATATTTGTTTTGGTTCTGAATCCCTCATGAATGTGTAGAAAAGACAGAAAAGGGACAGGATAAACCTAGATTGGGGTGCTCCAGGTTTTTTTTTTATTCTTTTCTAAAACTAAGAAAAAAGAAGGAAACAGCCGTCCAGCTTCCACAAATGAGGCTGAGAAACTAGTAAAATTAAATTTGTTCCCAATTTGATGAAGCAGTTTTGTTCTTTGCTGATCTGTCTGCTACCGCTTTATCAGGTATTTATTCAGGCACTGCTGCAGATTAACAGTGTTGTGGCATTTCCTGGTAGGGCTGGGAGAGACCCCTGGCTGAAATTGTGTGAGGCACTGCATATCAGTGCAGAATCATATTAAGATTGATGACCTAATGGTCTGACTCAGTATAAACTTTCATTTGTTTGTATTGCTATAGTGTTGAGTTCATACTGGAGGCTCCAGACACGTTGCGGTCAAACTGCTGCAATAGTTAGTTCATCAAGAAACAGATTGGCTGAAGAGAATCTGGCTGCCCAAGTTGAAGATGTTGGTCATTACCAGAACACAGTGAGGCCCTGCATTTTGCTTCCAAATGAGACATTGCAAACTCATTTAGATAAAAAGATGGCTGCTAGTCCTAGAGAAGAATTTTTTTAAATTACCATACTGCATGATTAGGATTCACAAAGGCTTAAGTCTCTGCTCAAAATTAATTTTCTTTTCCAGATCGGATTCCCCCTACTTTACCCAGGCAATCTCGTGAGGATCGACACAATTCTGGATCTAGACAGAGGCCTCATTTATTCCGGCAAGAACCAGGGCATGCCTTGTACCACTTCTCACAAACTGTCCCTCAAATGCCCTCCAGGAACTGCTCTTCAGTTGGCTCCCATGGCCAGCCTTTTTTCCACTCTCCTGAACTCTCCCAGTTGGATTTTGGAACTATGCATTACTTGCCTTATAGGCCAATTGGCCTTGAGCCTTGGTGTAGCCACCAAGCTCCTCTCAGCAGAAGCCTGTTACGTTCTCAGCATCACCTGGAGTCCCCAGTGTGCGAGCCAGCCCTGCCCCCTCATAGGCTGTGTCTGCTTCAACACCAGCCGTCTTGCCAAGGTCTCAGGGCTCAGATAAATCAGGCTGTTCCTTTACACCGAGGACTTCGCCATGGGAGGCATCACCATCACCACAGTAGTGGTTCTGCGGAGAGTTATCTTACAGAACCCAGTGGATACCTTCCTGATGGCCCTGGTAGTGACTCCAGTTCAGGTCCTTGCCATGGCAGCTCCAGTGACTCCATGTTGAATTGCACTGACATCAGTCTTCAGGCTATCCATGGCAGTTGCTCTACTTTTCATAGCTCCCTGAGCAGTGATTATGATCCGTTCACCTTCTGTGGTTCAGAGAAGTTGACCACAGAAAACAAACAAGATTCTTCTTCATCTGGGAAGGATTCGCAACTTCAGTCAGTAGACTCAATGGTAACAAGTAGAGCACAACTAGCCAGTAAACATGTCCACTATCATCACCATCACCACAGGCATCACCATTATGGGCAGAAACCTTCCAACTGTCCAAGTGGCAGATCAAACCAAGAGTCTAACTTACGCAAGATGAAATATTCCAGGACAAAGGTAGGGTCACAAAACATCTCGGTTCCAAAAAGGAAAGAGAAAATGCAACTGCTAGATCTTTCTAGGCAAGGACACACTGAACTGTATTTGGCAGATGGGTCTGACATTAACATGACAGCCAGTAGCCAAGCTGGATCTATTGGACTGTGGGGTACTCAGAAACACCATGCGCAAATCCATCCAAGTAGAAGGAGATGGAAGTGTCCTCTGGAGACGTCACCTGAGGACTCCAGCACAACCCTGGAATGCAGAATTGCTAGCCATCCTGGTGGTTCTTCTAGAAACCAGGGTTCCTCAGAAATTCAACCTCTTTTAGTAGGTGGTCCTCCTGCACATAATTTTGCAGCCTTGCCGGGGGTATCAAAATGCCTAACTCCATGTTTTACCATGGAAAGCCAGGAAAAAAGGGACACGCTGGGACAATTGGATTGTGAACCCATGTTTCCAGAAGAATGTTCAGACATGGATGCAACAAGAAGCAGCACAAGCTCTTACCTCAATAATAGAATTCTGCAAAATCTTCAGGGTAAGTTTGAACCTTTCGAGTCTCATATATCTTTATTTTCCAGGGTCATTTCATCTCTATTTTCCATCTGCAGTATGTAGACTCAGTACTTTTGAACATCTTGTAATGCCTGCCTCTAAAATGTATGTCAAGCTGCCCTCATAGAATTCTGGGAATAGAAGTTAGTTTGTTAGTGGCCTTTAATACAATCCTGGTTTTAGAGGACTGTATTCAACATAATACGAATGGGATGGGAGCTTTTGATCAAAGATGCCAACCCCTTCAGTTTATGGGAACTCAAGCATGATGTGTTTTACTCATTCTGCACGTTCTCTCTAGGAATCAGCACTTAAACTTCCACTCCGATGACAATACCTTTGAGTATTGCAAAATGGAAAGCTTATTATTAAAGCATTATTTGGTAAAGGAAGCATACTCTGGTGATCTGGTTATAGGAGTCGCATCTATATTGGCTGGGCATTGGACTAAATGATTTACAAAGTAGCTTCCAACTCAATTGTGCTATTGAGCTATTTTGCCCCTGCTGTGAACTTACTGTTTGCATAAAATTTATCTTGTATGTTTATCTTTTTGTATAAAGTGGCTTGCAATAGAGGTAGTGCTTGATTTACATCTGGCCTAATCACCATTCACAATCACAGCACCCTCAGAACTTCCCACTATTGTAAAACATTGCATTGCCTCTCCTCCCAGTCACATGACTGCATTTGGCAAACTGTTGGCATTCATGAGCTGATGCCAAGTGCCCTGGAATCATGTGATTGCTATTTGCACTCTCTTCTGCTAGTTTCCTCAGAACATCAATGGGGAAGCCAGGAGGAAACATTGCGAGTGGAGAGGACATTGGATTTGAGCTCCGTTTCCCCAGCATGCCAAGGGAATTCCCCTCCTCTCGGTGCACTGGAGGAATGGACTTCAAAGCTGGTGAAAATGCTATTGACTGCCGGTATTCTGAAAAGCTCAGAATGCTGCCGTTTGGTAGTGTTTTAGCAAGCATCATTGTCTCCATCCCTTCAGAGGGAAAAATGCTAGCAAACACCAGGATTCTGAGCCTTTCAGAATATTATTTCCTAGCACTTTAGTGAACACTATTGTCTTTTCCTTTCTGGAGGGCAAAATGTTAGTGAACATCAGCATTCTGAGTCTTGCAGAGCAGTAATATTGGCTAGGGTTTTCTTTTTGCCAGATTTGAGGCCATTCGTTCAATGTGCTGAGAGATTACCTCATCCAGCTCTGATTAACAACTCACACAGTCGCTTAAATATTGCAACTGGGAGAGCTGGGATTGCAGTCACTAGACAAAATGATCACCTGCATCTTAATGATTCCAATAAAGGAGAATATTTATAACTCAGGGTTGAAATGAGGGGTCTTTGGTGTTCTTTGAGCTTGCTTGTTTTCTTGCAAATGTTTCATTACCCTAACCATTCACTAACAATGATGATGTTACCTAGTTAGGGTAATGAAATGCTTTCAAGAAAACAAGTAAGCTCAGAGAGCCCCAAGGACCCCTGTTTAATGATTGCCTGACTCAGGGACCGAG